CCATACATTAGTAATGTCTGACTGGGCCTCGTGTCACTTTATGTTCAATAAATTGGGCCCTGAGGTCAGAAAGGTTGAGAACACCTGGTCTGATAGACCTGGACCAGGTGAATGAAGCAGACAGGAAGTTGGTCCAGTTGAGTCTGGATCAGGTGTGTCAGGTAAAGAGGACAGTTCCTGCAGGTGTGTCCTGGCCTTCTTCACATGTCGGTGCTGTCAGCCTCTGAAAGCTGCTAACGGCTCATTAATGTGCTACATGTGTCGGCCTTATCTGCTGTATTATTTTACTCTTGTTAAGCCAATTATTTCTGTGTTTCCTCCTCTCTGCCTTCGGTGTGTAGCAGCAGCGGCGGCGGCGGCTGATGGAGGTTGCGGTGACCTTGCCGTAGTTGGCTTTGTCTCGCACCGCCACTCCTCCATCACGTTAGCTCGTTAGCTAGTTATCAGTGGGACACAACGGGTTGGTGAGGCAGGCGGTGTTATTAGACTGGCTGACAATGATAGGCCGTCCCTCTGAGACGTCCCCTCACTCACAGGTATGCAAAGGAAGCGTGGGCTCTGGGTATTGTCCACAGATCAGAGGCGTAGGTGAGTTGTTCTTTTTAATTAATCGTTTGTCCTTCAAAYGGAGGAAAGTTTCAGTGCCGCAGATAATTAAGTCCCAGAGTCGAGCGGCGGCGCAGCTAGCAGCCACCTGCTGCCTTTGTAGCACTAATCTTTGTCTTGTAGGAGCGTCGTCCCTGAAGACGCCGCRGCAACGCCAGCCGAACGAGCAGAATGAGAAAACACCTCTGAATCCCCACATGATCCCTCCTCCTCCTCCCTCCGCCGCCGACTGCCTCTTGTTCTTTTTATTCATCTTGTTTCACTCCAGTACTCTGCTTTCTCATTTTCCTCTTCAGCTGGATCCATCCTCCTCCTCCTCGTCTGTCTGATCTTCCTCTTTACTCATGAAGGGGAGGTTTAATTAGGAACAAACTGAAACAAACAGCCTTTGATTTGTTCGTTTTATCACTTTATTCCGTGAAGGTTGAAGTGATTTCTGTGTAAAATACAAAACATGAAGGAGAGAAGGAAGAAAAGATTTTCTTTTCTTTTTTATAAATGTAGATTTTTACCTGAAATCTGAAGTTTCTCTTCTGACAAAACCTCATGTTGAGTTAAACTTCCTTTAGTTTGGACCAATCAGACGCCTCGCTTCTCTTCCTGGAACTTAAGTCTTCAGATAAAAACAAGTTTAATAACAAAAGATTTTATTAATCATCAAATATTTACAGAAAGAGGAGAAACCAGTTGAACAGAACAAACTTATTTGTTTCTTTACAGCAGGTTTGTTGTTGGGAAACATGTTTGGAAAAATTACTTCACTTTAAAATATTTTATTCTTTTCTATTTGTCTTTATTTACTCATGTTTTTTAATGATCTTGTTTTCTAAATGTTTTTAATTTGCTGCGTTTAGATTTTTATCTCTCTCTCTCTCTCCACTCGTTTCTTTCTCTTTCAACCTCTCATTTTGTTTCAAGGACGTTTGTATCATAAAGGAGGAATTTACATATTAATTCATTTCTTTCAATTTTTCAGATTAGAAATTGTCAACATGTATCAGCACTGATCAAACCACTGCTTCCACCAGAGACCTGTGTGTGTGTGTGTGTGTGTGTGTGTGTGTGTGTGTGTGTGTGTGTGTGTGTG